ACCCTCGTGTGAAGTGTCAGAACCTTGAAACCTGCACTAAAAAGGTTACAAAACCAAGTAGTTCTGTAATTAGTTTCACTAATTATAATCTAGCAGTGGTAAATGGCAGGATTTTATTAAGTTAGCCTAGCCTTCTTTCTCATTTAATTTGTATTTATGGAGTTCTCATTTAAAATTTAAAAGTGAGTATTAAGGTTTAGTGGTACTGACTTTTCAGCGTGCTATTAGGTAGCATCCTTTTTTCATCTAGTTTATAGCAACAGTCTCTTGGGGTCTTAAATAGCTGTTACCTATTAATGAGCTAGTCTAGTCCTTCTACTTAACATCAAGCAGTTCATTAAAATGGATTTTCATGGTATACTGATTTTGAACCAGGGCAACAAAGATCCAGGCTTCCACCTGTGATCTAAGTTGTTTAACTTCCAAGGGAGGAGAAAGAAAATTGGGGATGATCAGAGAGAGACAGTGGTTTTTAACCATACCTTCTAAGTCTGTCTGTCAGTTTTTCTGTTGAGAGCTCTTGGGTACTAAGTAAACATGTAGCTTCACGTTCTGATGTGATGTCACCAGATAAAGCAAAATAGGAACCTTGAAGTGTCAAGATGCTATAATTTGTCTGTTGTCACATATAAAGTAGGAATTAAACCTCAACAAGCTTATTCTGTTGGAAAAAAATGCATCTATGAGAAAAAAAAATAACATTATGAAGGTCATTGATAATGAGCAGAGTGCTGGCAGTGAATGGCTACTGCATAAGAAGTGCTTGCATATTGTGTTTTGTCTGTAATTTTGATAAGCGTGCTGTTGCAAGTTATGTTTGCTACTTGTTGATATTCAGTAGTTTTTTAAGTATTTTTGTATTGCTTTGCCCTATGGTCAGGAAGTGAAGTACAGGAGGAAAGGAAATCTGAAATTGTTGTCCACCATCAAGACCCTGCTCTGCAAAATTTAGGGAAGCTGATTAATGCTCAGTTCAAGAAACTGTTCTGTTCTGCATGTATTTATGAGTGCATATAAATAATGAAGGATTTTTCTTGCTTATCAATTCCTTCAAAGTAATTTTTAATTTGAAACATTATTTGCTGAAGGGGAGGAAGAAGCCAAAAAATACCAGCCTAACCATGTGTGGTGAGTTGACCTTGACTAAACACCAAACTCCCACCAGCTGCTCACTCACTCCTCCTCTTCAAAAGAACAGGGGGAGAAAAAAGAAGGAAAAAACTCATGAGTTGAGGTAAATACATGCAAACTGCTTATCAGTTACCATCACAGGTAAAACAGACTTGACTTGGGGAAAACCTGTTTAATTTATTGCCAATTCAAATAGATTTGAGTGGTAGGAAACAAAGACAAAAATGAAAACACTACCTCCCCTCCATCTCCCAGGATCAACTTCACTCCTTCACTCCTGACTCCCTTCCCCCCCCAACCTTGAGTGGTGCAGAGGGATGGGAATGGGGGAGCTGTGGTCAGTCCATGACAGCCTCTCTCTGCCATGCCTTCCTTCTCACACTTTCCTCCTTCTCCAGCATGGGTCCTCCCATGGGCTGTAGTCCTTCAGGACATGCCTACTCCTGCGTGGGTCCTCCACAGGTCGCAGTTCCTTCAGGGAATATCCACCTCTTCCAGCATGACGTCCTCCCCGGCCTGCAGGGTGGACACTTGCTCTGGCATGGGGTCCTGCAGGGGAATCTCTGCTGGAACAGCTCTTCCACGTCTTCCTGCTCTCACCTCGGTGCTTGCGGGCTGTTTCTCACACTTTTTCCCATACTTCTCAGTGCCAGGCAAGGTTTTTCCCTTACAATGCTTTCCCTGAGGCACTACCCACCACTCCCCTGCAGTGGGTCTGTTGAGATAAGCTGTGTCTGGCACAGGGCAGCAGCAGCCTTTCCTTATAGAAGCCATCCCTGCTGCCCCCCCACTGCCAGCACCCTGACACCTGAACAGCTACACCCAATAATGCTGTTGTGTTGCTTACGTAGCATGTGTTGCTGCTAAATATGCTGTTTTACACCATAGGAGAAAACGTAGGGCGGGTAGCTGTTTGCACGGACACGCTTTCCTCAGAACAAGATGTTCCACAGATCGGCCTTCACTGCAGATACCCAGCAGACTTAATGCATTGGCAGAAAAACACCGAAACCAAAACCTTTAGGTCTACTTCTGACAGCACGTAGTCATTTTTTTACCGTGTTCATCTCTACAATTGTTTATTTAAAACACATGAAGGTCCTGAGCCAAGAGGAGTGGCGCATAATTATTGGAAATGCACATTAAATCAACTTAGATATCATTTGATGCGTAGGATTTTTAGTTTCATTAACCGCTTGATCCAGAGAACCATATCTCTCCCTGAATTTTGCTGCTTCTTTTAAATAGCTTTGCTTGTCCTTGTGATACTTTCTCTTCTAGTGATATCTGCTGTTTTTCTTTCGAATAATCACTTTTCTCTAGACTTCTCAGATTTCATAACAGTCATTAGAAAGCCTGATAGGAAGGCAGAATCTTCAGAGTATGTATGATTTTCTATTTATATTGATAAAAAAGATTTAAACAAGCTTTATTACCATAAGTGTTTTTTTCAATGTGTAAGAAAGGTTACACCTGCTCCAAAATTGCAAATAGGTTCTTGTGCACCCAAATATCAGGAAGTTTATTACTGAGATAAACAAGACGTGGGTAAGCCAGGCTGCTCTGTGGTCTTGCATGATGTCTTCTGTACTAAAGATTTCCAGCCTGTGGTATGCATACCACTAATGTCACATGAGCAGTCTGTGATACACAAATCCTGTTTGAACAGGCAGATGTTGCTGCCTATGTACATGTATAACCTGATACAGAGCTGGAAATGTTGAAGCTTTACTGTTGCAAATGATGGTATCTTAGGGTAAAAAAAGTTACAAAACTCCTATAGATAGAAATTTGTACGTGCATTTACAAAAAAAAAAAAAAAGGCAAAAACCCCAGAGTTCACAGCAACTTGTGCATATTGGATATATATACTTGCCATTTTCCTTTCCTTCGCTGTCACCAGGCATTTAAAAGAGAGACACTTTGGGTTGTTTGAGGAGATATTTCTTCCCTTCATATTTGTGAGTTTGAAGATTTGGCTTTGGGGCTTATCAGTTAGACTAAAAGTTACATCAGAGGCTTTGGGCAACCTGGTGTAGTGGAGGGTTTCCCTGCCCATGGCAGGGGGGTTGGAACTAGATGATCTTTGAGGTCTCCTCCAACCCTAACCATTCTATGATTCTATGATCATAAGCCTATAGATTGTGTATAACCAACAAGAAGAATTAGAAATCTTTCCCAATGTCCATTTCTGTCTTTCTCTGTCCAGAGTAAATATCCTTCCTCTTTCCTTGGTGATGTGAGGGGTGCGCTGGACTTGCAGCATCTTGCTGTTTTACTCTTTTTTTAGCCTGGGAAAGAACTGCCCCTTTGCTGTCACGGCAGCCTAGGCTGCATGGACTTTTTAAGATGCCGATGTAGCTTAGTGGTGAGGTAACATTCTTTTGTCACAGGCGGATTCATAACATTTGTTTGACAGAAGAATTGCCTCATAAACTGGCAATGAAAAGTTTTAACACAAAGCCAGGTGAAGAAGTTTGACAATGGTGTTGTTTCCCCTTAAGAATAGTGTGGTGAAAAAGCTACCCTCTTTCTGTCAATTTTTTAATCCTTGTAGACACGAAAAGGAGTGAGTGAGGAGTAGTTAACAAGCATGGTTAGATCGGGTTCCTGCATTAGGTGGTATAAACAAAGGATGGTCTTTACTGAGTAAGCTACTACCAAATAGTCTCCTAAGCGTTTGTTACCAGTGCTGCAACTTAGCTAACTCACATTCGAATGGTATGCAGGATAGGCTAGTCTAGCAAGAGTCTCTTTACAAGACAAGACTGAATTAAATACATGCCATGCAAACACCTCGGATTCTCTTGGCTGCATTGTAAACTCTCCTGGCCAGCACAAAGGTGCTGCAAGCCTTGAATGGAGCCTCTGAAGTCCACTGCAGTATCAGTGAGCTAGAATAATTTATGAAGGTGGTACGAGTGGTAACAGTTGGCTACAGTTGTGGATTTTTTTTCTGCTATTGGTATTTGGTGGAACCAGGGTAGTCCAAAGACTACAGTATTTGTAAGTGTCAGTGATACCCTGAGGATTCAAAGCTTAATTCTTGCAAATCCTTTGCAGTGGAAACAAAGCTCTTTACAATGAGAAACATTTATAGGGAGCGATAAAATGTTTATTGCTTTTATTTGACTTAATGTGTTACATAGAAATTGAATGAAGTAATTCTAATCATTTTATCCACTCAGAAGATCAGTTGGTACTAAATAAGTTTTGCTTCTGTGAGTGTACTTTCATTACCAATCCAAAATCAGTACTGTCAGAGAACCATTACTCTGTGGTACTCATTGAAAGCATTCTGTGAAACAAATTAGCATTATCTTTTTATCTGTGGTAAGATATTACTTACTTGAAATAAATGAACAACACATTTGCTAGCATTTTGCCTTCTTATTGACAGTTTCAGTAGACTGGCTAAGGTTTGGGCAAAGCATGAGACCAAACTATGCTCTTGCCAATTAGAGGCAGCTTTTTCAAGTAAGCAGTGTAGACTAGAACTCTACAATATCTTTGTACATGCTCTCTTGATAAATAATTCCTGTTTCAAAGGTTGTCCAAATTGATATTTTCACCTCTGTATGGCATGTTTCACTGAAGAATCTTAGTACTCTTATATTCTTGTTTCATAGTCTGCAGGGTAGGGTAGAATATTCCTCAATTTAGAAAAGTGTAAATCAAGCAAAAGGGGAACTGCTGATTTGTCTTACTGGATATATTTAATAAATACTTAAGAAAAAAAAGAACTGTGTTAAAAGTTTAACCTATGAACAAAACTTATTAAAACTGTTTTAGTTTAATGCAGTGATAGTCTTCGTTTCCATGCTTGATACACATCACACTGACTTGATTTTGGTTTTATTTCTATTTAGGACGTGTAGGAACACCTCATTTTATGGCCCCAGAAGTGGTAAAAAGGGAACCTTATGGGAAGCCCGTAGATGTCTGGGGTTGTGGCGTGATCCTTTTTATCCTGCTAAGCGGTTGTTTGCCTTTTTATGGAACCAAGGAAAGATTATTTGAAGGCATTATTAAAGGAAAATACAAGGTAAATGACAATATACCTGAGTTCTTTTCCAGTGAGATGAGCTCTGCTGGTAAAATTTCTGAAAGTTGATTTTTGTATTTAGCCTGATTTAAATTTGAAGCTTATAGAAATACTGTCTGTGTTAATAGTAAAAGAGATTATTTTCTCTCTCCAGTCTATCTTATTCCTGCTGTATTTTGTATCAATATTAGGAATTAGAGTATGGAAATATTTACTCAGCTGAAATAATAAATAGATGCAACAACTAGCCCCTAATTGTACGTGGAGCTCGGTAGGATTACATAAGGTTTAGGCTGTGAAGTGTAACATACTGTATGTTACCTTATTTTTATAGATCATTTAAAAATTTTAATCAAATAAAGGAACTATCATAAAGGCTGATCATCATGTTGCCTTGATTTAAAACAAAATGCATGTTACTGTGAAAATGTAGTTACACATTTTTCTTTTTAGTACAGTATGTAGTAAAGTGCAGCTGATGATTCAAAAGGAGCCACTTGCAACTGAAAGCAAATCAGTGTGCGTGCAAGATAAGTGTGTTTCACAACATAAGCAACCTAGAGCCATTATGGAGACAAATTTAAAGCTTCGACTTCACTATTTTTGCGGTTTTGTCTAAGATCAGTTTTGCTCTACTTTGCAACCAAGGTCAGACATGAGCTGTGTATTAGTGAATTAAGAGTGGAAACTCTTAAAACTGTCTGAGATGTAATATCAGTTTATGTAATATGGTTTAGGAAGTATTTTATTATATGAACTTAACAGTAGTCTGCTAAAATGTAAGTGAAAGCAGTCGTACTGCACTTTGTCAGAAGAACATTTTTCATTCTTTAAATTTTGTATTCCTAGAAACAGCAGGATTTCTTCAGGGCACTATTTTTAGGATTGCATAGACTGGCAGACGTTCCAGTTTCACTTTATGGAGGATTTCTTTATGGAATCTCTTAAGCAGCTAAAACCTTCTGGAAGTGTACAAGTTAACTTTTCTTTGTTTAAAAAAAAGTCATGGCCTGAACATTGTGTCTTCTCAGTTCCTTTTCTGTTCCTGTTTCCACAATAATATGTCTATTCAGTGAAAATAGTATAAGGATTTCAAAACAGTCTTGATGCAAATTTGCAATTACCTTCGTTTCATTAGAGCTGAAAAAGAAATGACAAATCACAACTATAAATGTGCATTTCATAGCCAGATAATGTTCCTGAGTGCTCCAATTTAAAGTGATCATTCTTCGTAACGACTGATCTCTTTAAATGAACAGACTTTGAATTTTCATTTAGTACCTTGTAAAATTAGCAGTGCACTGTCGTTCTTCATAAATTAAAGAAATACTAGAAAGAGCTGAAGGATAGAATTCTTTTAGGATGGAAAAAATTTTCTTACTTTAGGGTGGTTTTATCAGGTGTCCATTGTCTTGACTAGCTGGACACAAACCTCTATAAACACAAGATGAAAATATATTCTGAATCATCTTTCACATTGTTATCTCCTAAAGATACAGTTCTGCTCTAGAAAGTGGTGCAATTGCTTATATCATTGATCATATGTCCATATGTTCTCCTACCTGAGTGACTGAAGATGCTTACCTGTTATAAAGTTGAAAGGAATTTATTGGGAAGAGCCATTGTCTGTGATACATGTGGGACAGGACCAGAGCAGTTCACAGCAGGCTTTAGCTGACTCTCTTCTTACTCAGCATCACTGGCATGAAATTGTGGGTTAATACAGTTAGACTTGTCATGCCATTCCTCATAGTGATTTCAGGAGTAGATTTAATTTCTACATTTATCATATGCATAGTTAACTGTCAGACAAAGCCTAATTATTTTTTCCTTTTCTAGTGAAGGGTCACTTTTATATGAACAAAATGTAGCATATGTAGAAAGTTATACTGTGATTATAGCACAATACCAAGGATATGTCAGCTTTTATGTGATACAGTGTTTTCAATTTTTTATGTCATTTCAAGAGCAACTAATATACAATTTTATAAATTACTAAAAAATACAGAATCTTCCTTTTACATCTAGTATGATAAAATGTTTACAAGTACCAACCACTGTTAAATGTCTGCAGTTTCTTTACATAAAAAGTAGGTTCTTTTCTATGTTCTTATTCCGAATTTAATTTCTTTTTTCTTGCTTGTAATCAGATGAATCCTAGACAGTGGAGCCATATTTCTGAAAGTGCCAAAGATCTGGTACGCCGCATGCTTATGCTGGATCCAGCAGAAAGGATAACAGTGTATGAAGCACTGAATCATCCCTGGTTAAAGGTAGTAAAAGCAGCTGTTTACATACCAGTTTCCCCTTCAAGAGAGAAAAAGATTTTGTTTGTTTGTTTGTTTCTTTGAACTTCTCAAAGTAGACATGAGATTGTGCAAAATGTCTGACCGTATGCTTTAAATGCTTTGCAAGATTAGAACGTGAGATTTTGATAATTGCCAAGCTTGAACTCTGAACTCTTGCAGTACATTATGCTACTTAACTGTGCTGCTTTCTTTCCTGAGATTCCTGAAATAACCCGCCAGAGTAAAGGAAGTATGTAGTGGTGTGTTGTTCAAAAGCCACTGTAGCTACATAAAATTATACGGCATCTGGTAATCAAAGTAGTTTTCAGTTGTGGCAGAATTTACAACACAGTTTGAGCCAGTGGAAGAGTAGTTGCTGGACACTGAAGATTAACAACAGGAGCAGGAGAATATACACCTAGCTTCTCAACAGTCCCATTAATAGGCTGTGCTAAATATGGAAGAATGATGGGTGTGTTGCAGTTTTAAAAGGTGGCCAGTAGTTTTTCAGAGCATTATATTTTCTTTGGCAGAAACTGATGAATTAACTATTTTTCTTTTTTATCTTCTGTTCCTTTTCTGTAGTGTGGGCCCAGGGTAGAGTCAGAATATCAGTAACTTAAACAGGGCACTTATTTGGAAAGGGTGCTATTCTGGTGTCTGCTTCTGGGCTGTTTATATGTTCTACGTTAGACAAATACTGACACACACACAAAAAAAACCCTCACAAAAAAAAAGAACGTGGGAAGCACAAGCTCGTATGTTGTTCTTCTCCCTCCAAGTAAATGGTCTAACTACTAGTGAATGGAGTTGTTCTTTCACTTCTTTGCTCTCTTTCTGGCTGACTCTTATTCCAAGCTGCAGAATGGTCAAGCTAATAAAAGGAGGGCAGGAGTGTGCATCTCTCAAGAATAACAGTGGTTAAGGCACTTTTCTGAATATTGGAAAACTGCTGGCTCAAAACATTCCACTAGAAAGGAGCCGAAGTTCTATCTGTTTGTCTGGAGCACACCTACTGCATCAAATATTTCAAAGAGAGTAGGAACGGACACCATGTTTTGAAATCCCAAATGATCATACTCCAGTGATTGAGTCTGTGGTAAACACAGGTGATCTGGTTTACTTTCTTGTAATTTGACTTGGCGAGCTTACCCACATTTAGATGCCAAAGCAAGGATTTTGTTGAGGGTTATGTTAGCAGAAAACTTTGTCATTTTTGTTGTTTGAACAACTAAGCTGATTAGGGTTTTTTAAAAGAGCGTTCTGTAATGCAAATGTGCAAGTTCTGCCTATATAGCATAGCACTTTTGATGTCTGTGGTCTCTTTCTGAGCTTGCTGTTACCTGTTGGAAGACAAGGAAGGAGTGAGAAGATTTAGTTTGAGACAACTTTGTTTCCAGGCTTAGGCCAGCATTCTGTTAGTCAGTCCTCTCTTATTTTTGCCTACGATAAACTGCCTTCCCTGTTGACTCAGAACTTTCTTCTAAGCCATTTATAAATAGCAGCCAAATACAGCATGAGGGAGAGACATCTTCAGTGCTGTAGAGAGACTGAATTACTTCCACTGGTGATTTCACCCTGATTCAGGAGACACATGGGATAAATGTTTACATTAAGTTAGTAAGTGTATGTAGCTTCTGTGATGATTTGGGACAGGGGAAGAAAGTAGACAGCTGCTGCAAGATCTGCCCCCACTATCCACTGTTGATTAGCAAATTTTTGTTCTGCATCTACAATGGAGAGTTCTTTCTGTAAGGTCGCACCTGGTGTCACCAGCCATCAAGCTGGCACTTCCTGCTCTGTTGGACACATGCCCATCTCCCAAGCTTACTTGAAGTATCAAGCACCCCTTAAAAGAGTGCTTGAACGTGTTGCTTCACGTTCTTGTGAATCCCAGGAAACAGAACTACTTTGTGCTTGCCAGCTTCAACGTTCAGTGCTAGTCACAGGCGGACTAACAACACAACAGAAAAAAAAAAAAAGGCTAGGGTATTACTACAAAATAGGAAACAAAATTACAAAGAGAAAATATCTCTGGCCCAAGTTAAGAATTCTTTCAAAATATTTTAATCCCTCTCAGTTTCTTGAAGTTTTCTTCAAGTTGCAACAAATCCCCATCTTCCTTAGGATACTTATTAGCTGATACATTCTTGTCTAGTTTCTTAATGCTGACAGAATATTAAGAGCTTGTATTTAATGTTTCTTATGTTTTGGTTTTTTTATGGGATTTTTAAGGAGAGAGATCGCTATGCATACAAGATTCATCTTCCAGAAACAGTAGAACAATTGAGAAAATTCAATGCAAGACGAAAACTAAAGGTAAAATTAATGTAGTGTTAAAGCAATATAATTACATAACTTGAATTCTGTATGATGCTTTATTCATTTTAAAAGCGCTAAGAGAAATCTATGCTTCAAAGTTGACAATGAAATAAAAAGTTGAAACAGGCCTTCACAGTCATTTATTGCGATGATGTCTTGTTAAGGGAGTTCATCCTTTCTTTCTTCATGCATAGTTTTCAAATTAAATTTCAGCACAAATTCTCTGGTGTCAACCAAAGTGTGTATTGAGGTCTTCATGTTAAATTAATTCAGAAATTCTATGTAATCTGATTAATTGGAGAGAATAGTACAATGATTTCTTTACTATTTGTCGTGGTTTTAGGCTGATCCAGCAACTAAAACTCACACAGTCGCTCCTTCTCCAGTAAAGTGGAGAGGAGAAAAGTATAATAAAGGGACTGAGGGTCGAGACAAGAACAGAGGGAGCACCCACCAACCATGATCCCAGGCAAAACAGACTTGGCTTTCTCAAAACAAAACAATTTATTAACGGTTACTTAAAAGGACAAAGGGAAAGAAAAACGGTTACTTGAGAGGATAAAAAGAAACAAAGCCAGATCTTAAAACCGACACCTTCCTTCCCCCCCCCTTTCCTTTTCCTCCCGGCTCTACCTCCTCCCCCCAGCAGCACAGGGGGCAGGGACTTGGGGAGTGCAGGTCAGTTCATTTCGTGCTGCTACTGCTCCTTCTTTCTTAAAGGAGGAGGAGTCCTTACACCCTTTTTCCCTGCTCCAGTGGATCCCCTACTCATGAGGAAAAATCCACAAACTTCTCCAGTGTGAGTCCAGCCCACAGGATGCAATCTTTCCCCATCGGATTGGCCCAGTGTGGGCTTTACCACAGTCTCGGATTCTTAGGGAGTTGTA